TGGTATCTGCAAGTATTATTTCATAAACGCGTTTATGTAAACTCTTTCCTTAATCTTAGAGTTTGATATGGATGCTTATCCCACACAGGCGGCCACAGAACGTGGAAAAGACCTGGGCTGCCAGCTCGCCTTTGCGACGATCACCAACGTGCTCTCGGGCCGCATCTTCGCCGGCGTGGGCTACGAGACCCGCTACACGCTGGACATGACCACGCCGGAGGGCGACCGGGGCTTCGATCTTTCGGCCATGGAGGGCAACACGAGCATTCAGGCCATGACAAAACGTCTCCGGTGAAGCACGTATCACGCAGAAGACAGACGATGCATTAGACAAAAAATGATGTATTCGTCATGCGTCAGTGCAGTAAAGTTCCATGATGAACCATGATATATGTAAGATTTAGATAAGTCTTTATCAGCACTGAATCAGCGTCAGAGCACTGACTTTTAATGCGAGCATTCCGTTCCCCCATTTTTAGCATTGGGAATATGAGTGCGCAAGGAAACTCACAAATTAAAGTTTTATGTATTTCATAGCAATTTCAGAACGAGTCCATATTACATATTTCCGCAAAAAAAGAGTTAAAAATAGCTTACATAAAAGTATATCTCAGACTTAATATATTTCATTTTATACAATATATAAAGGGATATTTGCACAATCTTAAGCTCCATACCATTTTATTTTCAGTTGTTTTTCTTTCCTTCCGAAAATCAAGTGAAATTGCATTATATATGAATGGGGCAGAATAATGTCACTTCCTTACGTCGATATATGGATTGAGCTCGTGATTATAGTTTCAAAACCTCAGCACTTGCATTTCATTCATGTGATATTACATTTTTACATTTATTGCAATGGTAAATTCATTTGACATTCTGTACTTTTTGCAATATGGTTTCGAAAATACATGGACGATGAGTCTGGTATTCTGGGTTATTCAGTGACCTCTTGTGTTACTTGTGTTGCATATGTACATAATACATTCATATATACACATACTCTCACTAACACTCACTCACTCACACACACACATATATATATATGTGTGTGTGTGTGTGTGTGTGTGTGTGTGTGTGTGTGTGTGTGTGTGTGTGTGTGTGTGTGTGTGTGTGTGTGTGTGTGTGTGTGTGTGTGCGTGCGTGTGTGCTTACATATAGCCTTTGTAGGTTATATAAGATGCCCTAGTGCTGACTCGATGCAGTTAAAGGACTGTATACAGCATGCGTTGCAAGATAATCAGAACAATTAATTTCCTACCGAAGGTGGCTGTTGTCAAGAAACGAGTTCGTGATAGAGCAAAGAATATCATGTGAGTATCCCATGGCAACAGTAACATCTCTAATGCACAAATTGGTTTTGTAGTGAAAGAAAACACGTTTACACCAGTTCCTATAATATATTTTATACATTTTCTATAATGTTCAATCTCCCTTCTCTGTGAATTCTCCTCTTCCCCAGTGTAGATGCTACAGGATGTTGAACATACTTACACTGTCGTTCATTTCAAACATAGCTCATTGGAGGGACTTTGTCACGATCTGGATCACAGTGTTTCCCTTCATGGCAGAGAGATCCAATTTCCAATCACCTGTCAGCGTAGAAACGTCCACGGAATACCTGGTCTCAAAACCAAGCGCGGTGAAGATCCGACTTGATAACTTGTTGCTGACTGTTACAAGCACTAGCTGGCACCCCGAGGCTTTTCCCTGATCAATGCTCATCTAGGAGAAAGAAATTTAAAATAACATGTATTCGTAAAATAAATAAATTGATACATTCATATACACACAGTACCTATCCCAATCTTTTTCTCCGCAGCATGAATTTTTAATCAGGATACATACATGCATAATTTCTCGATCTGTCTTTTATACCAAGCTCTTATGCTCATGCTATACATGCACAGAAGTATTAAAGGGACATATATCTGGAGATTCAGTTGACTTCCTTTAATCGTGAGTTTCATAACTAGCAATGTTCCAACTTTGAGAAGTTACCCACCAGGTCCATGTAATTTATATTGCTGCGTCAGACGGATAGACAAATGAACTTCATAAACTGACATCGGACTCGACACTGGGAATTCCAATGACTGTATATTCATAGTCAACTTTATAGTAACCATTAAGTATCCAGGTCTAAACACCTTAAAATAGATCCTGAAAGGGGTGGTCTGTCTCAATATGAACCCAAACAGCCACTGGGTCCTTCCTTCCTGTCCCGAAAACAGAGGTCTCAGGAACACTCGACCTTACTATTGAAGACTCCGCTATATGGTACCTACTGTATAACTATGCACAATATATATATAAACAGAGGTTGAATAAGCAAACTGAAAACAGAAATATACGTATAGCATATCAATACCAACCGGAACCAATTTCTTTCCAATACCGCAGCCACCATAATTTTCTCGAACACACAGCACGAAGATGTAGAGTATCTTTTCTACATTAGACTCTTCAAATATATCCACCTTGGACCTTATTTCGTCACATAGTCCACACACTTTGATCTGGAAAAAAGACAAGGTGAAATGCTCAGTTCGACAATTCGTACAAGTTAGAATGTATTTTGTATTCCTGCCCTTGTAACATAGTCTGTTATTTACTGTCTTGAATTTTGGTCTTTTCTTTTAGTTTTCTTCTTAGCACAATTCTGATTTCCCATTGCATTAAGATTTTTTTTCTAAATCATCTGTTAAATGCTACTTCCACTGCTTCTACTACTACTACTAATATTAATAATGATAATAACAATGATAAGCGGTATAGTACCAGTAAAAGTGATGATAATGAAAATTATGTAAATGATTATAATGTTCATACTACCAGTAATAACAATAATGATAATGATGGTGATAACAATAATAATAACCACGATAATTATATTTGTACTACTACTACACTAATAATAATAGTAATAATGATAACAGTCCAGATACTTTTCAGACGAAATGACATAAAAAATGTTTTAGCAAGAGGATGAACGATATTTTTATAACAGTTGAAAAGGTAATAACATCGCTCACTTCATATTCAGTTTTCCTTTCAGCCAAAGGCTTCGCAGAAACAGCTTCCGCCTTAGTTTTCACGTAACTCAGGCAAACACCGGCCAAGGCGCCTGTGCGGACGTCCCTGGCACCATAGGACACTCCAGAGGCGAGGCACTCCTGCAGTTTCTTGCTCGTCATCCCGCTGCGGGCTGAGGCGGTCACGTGGAAGCCCATGCACTGAAATCCAACAGCCAATTTGTGTCGACCTTTCGTACTCTTTTCTGAGTAGATAGATATATAGATAGATAGATAGACAGATGGGTAGGTAGATAGATAGATGGACAGATGGACGGATATAGATAGATACATATAGAGACAGGTAGGTACATATACAGAAAGGTAGATCCATAGATACATAAATAGAGAAATAGATAAATAAAGATTCATTACAAGGTGTGCAGAACTCACGAGAGGCTCTCTGGGGAAGTAGTCATCCTCGATCAACTTGGCCACTTCATCGAAGTTCTCAGGCTTCAGGAGAAAGTATTCGATATCTTTGGCGTCCACCATATCGGTCAGCTCAGTCACGTAAAAGCAATCTGCAAAATGGGGATTTTTTATGAAATGGAAAATGAGAAGACGAAAGGGAAGGTTGGTGTCGGAAAAGGAAGATGAAACTGATCGAGGCCTCAACCAATTTTATGTTATGGTATAATAAAAGGTCCAAATAATACTAAAGGCAGTGAATCCGGAAATATGTGTACCTTTAGTTTCAAATATCCCTTTCCCCCATTTCACCGTCTGCAGAAACGTGAAACGCAAAGGAAGTAATTTCAATGAACGATCAATCATGCATCAGTTCAAAGTAAAAACTAAAGAGAGACAGAACTAGCTTTCACATAATTTCAGATTTTTTTCAGACAACTTTAACAATAAGAGAAGATTACTTTAACTGGCATTTTCTTTTTTTCTTTATTTACATTAAAACTATAGAACCTATTAAATGCATCAGCATGACTTATGAATGGTTATATTACAAGCGGTAATTAAAATAACTACAGATGCCTGTGAACGATTTAATGAAAGGAAATGAAAAAGAATTTATGCACATCTTTTGCATTACTTCGCACATTAACACGAATAACTGAAGTAAGAAATTGCCCAGTAACGTATTAGTAAACTTATATCTGCATTTCTTTGAAGAGCCAGGGCCAACTTTTGACTTCATGATGATACCCTTAAAAAGACCTTAGGGAAGATAACCGACCCTCCCTATGGTTTATCGATGAGTGTACTTGACGAGTCCGAGTGCACGGTGTCGATATGTACTCAAATGTTTCGTATCTGTACTCAGACTCAACCGTTTGCTCATTCCGAACTTGCAATTACAGTAAAAACAAAGAAACAAAAATCGCCGGAGAACAGAAAATTACCATAAGCATTCGAGAATGGCAGATCACACACACATACGCACACACACACACACATACGCACACACACACACACACACACACACACACACACACACACACACACACACACACACACACACACACACACACATACACACACATACACACACACACACACACACACATACACACACACACACACACACACACACACACACACACACACACACACACACACACACACACACACACACACACACATACACACATACACACATACACACACACACACACACACACACACACACACACATATATATACATATATGAAGTATAATATGCATACAATGCATCCAGTGATATATACAGAAACCATTAGTTACCATTAGTTTTTACACCTAGTAACATGTTTCACTAAACACCTCAGGCATTTATTTTATTTTCCTTCTTACTTCAAGTCCACTCACTCCTTTTATACTTGTTTTAAAGAACAATTTCCATTGAGAAAACTATCAACACAGTTTTGCTTCCATTACTGAAGAACTGTTTTACAAATGTTGCTCACTTTCGCTCCCTCGCACTGAAAAGC